GGCCCCGCCCTCCTTTCCCTCGGCTCCCACGCCTCCTTGGGGCACTGGGCGCAGCTGCTGATCGGCTGGGCCGCTGACCCCTCCCTGCCCACGGAGTGCCGCCTTCAGGCCTCTGCTGCCAGCCCGAGGACGGGTCCTCTCGGGAGCCCAGTGACACGGGCGGTTCTGGGACGAGCCAGGTCTCAGGCGCCGACTGTCCCTGCTTGCTGCGGGAGACTGGCCTGCTCTGAGCTTCCTGGGTGGTCGCCTGGGGTCAGAGGTTGTTGGCCTGAGGCCGAAAGGGGTCCCCGGTGCAGGGGGTATACGTGTGTGTGAGAGAAAGAGAGCCTGAGGGCCCACGTGGGCCAGGGCCCCACTTGGCACGGAGGTGGGTGCCTAGGAGCTGGTGGCGCGCGGTGACTCGGGGACCACGCCGAGGGCAGAGCCGAGGACCTGGCTCCGTCGGCTGTCCTGAGATGGGACGAAGGTTTCTCCAGCAGCCCCAGGGCAAGAGTCGCATCTCCGCTCCTCCCCATCCTTCTTGGACGACCTCAGACAAATGACCTGATCTCCCCGAGCTGCGAGGTGGGCACACGCCCTGTTTTAGGGGGTGGAGGTTGGGTTCCGTAAAGCGCCTGCCCCCTGGCCTGGCCCGTAGTAGGTGCTTAATGAATATCCCCTGGTTTTCCTTCCTCCTCAAAGGGCCAAAGCTGAGAAGCTGGAAGAGTGACAGAGGCCGCGTGGTGGGAGGGCGTGCTGAGTTCGGGAGGCACTTGAGGTCCCGGGTCTGTGTCAAGGGGGAAGGGACGCTTGGGTCCCATGTTCTCGGGGCCTCCCCAAGAGAAGGGAGGCGGGAGAGGGGGCGCGAGGAGCCGGGCTCTTGTGCCGCAGCCTCGGACACGTCACTTAACCTCTGAGCCTGTGAACGTTGTGGGGAGACGGCAGCACCGTGGATGTCGCACGTGCGGGTGCGCCTGGGAGACAGCGGGTGCTCAGTGCGTGAGAGCGGCCCCGTTCCTCAGGTGTCCTCTGCCCTGGGTGGAGGGAGCCCCATGTTGAGGAAATGGAGCAGCTGACCCTGATGTGGCGAGGCAGCTCTGAGGGCTGTAGTAGTGGGGGGGGGGGGGTGGCTGACGGCCTCCGCGTGCACGGCCCTGCATCAGCCTGCCGCCAGCCACGCCCTGGAATGGCCTGGAGCCTTTGGGAAGCCAGGGAGGTGGCTTTCCTGCTCTCTGTCTCCATTTCGCACAGTCTGTGTGCCTCATACATTGTATGTTAGGTAGGCCCGCCCTTCCTCCCTCCCTCTCTTCCTTCATCTGTTATCTTCTCTCCCTCTTATTTACTGATCTATCCATCCATCCATCATCCATCCATCCATCTATCATCCATCCATCCATCATCCATCCATCCATCTATCATCCATCCATGCGTCCATCTATCCATCCATCATCCATCCATCCATCTATCATCCATCCATCCATCATCCATCCATCCATCTATCATCCATCCATCATCCGTCTATCCATCTATCATCCATCCATGCGTCCATCTATCCATCCATCTATCATCCATCCATCCATCATCCATCTATCCATCCGTCCATCCATCCCTCTTCTCCAGTCCCCCGTCCCCATACTTAGTCACAGATTGCCTGCCTATTTAAATGAGTGTTGTTTTTTTTTTTAAGTTTATTTATTTTAGGCAGGGAGGAGAAGACAGGGGGGAGAGAGAGAATCCCAAGCAGGCTCTGAGCTGTCAGGGCAGTGCCCGATGCAGGGCTCAAACTCCCAAACCATGAGACCAGGACGTGGCCTGAAGTCAACCACTTAACCGACTGAGCCGGCCACCCAGGCGCCCCTAAAGGACTGGTTAACAGTCATCAGTGATTTCCAAATGTTCACCTGGGGATCCTGTGTTTTGAAAGATTGGGTTCACTAAACTGCTGAGTAAATTGAGTACTCTCCAATTTATTTCCTCATTTTAAAATGTCAGAGCTCCCCTGTGGGTGGGTCTATGTGGCTCTGAGCCTCCCCAACACCAGCCAAAAGATCTAGAAGCTTCTATAGCCCCATGTTTCCCAGAGACCATTTGCCACATTCTGGGAGCCATCCAGAGACCCCCGGCCCATGTGGCCCCTGAGGTGACCTGAGGCCTGGCTCCCAGGGCTGTGGTTCGGCCGGGCCTCTGCTCTGGGAGCGGCCACAGTAGAGGGAGTGACCTTTCGTCCCACTCAGCAGAGGGGCTTTCTGTTCCTCATTGTTTAGCCATGACGGGGCTTTGGTTGTTGGGTTTTTTGTTTTTTTTTTTTTTCCCCTTCTGTCCAGAAGATAAACAGGCTTTAAGATTGCTCAAGGGAGGGCTGACCTCTTCTGCCAGCCGCCAGCCCCTGGGCTCTGGAATCACACAGAGCGGCAGGAGGAAGTGTAGGGAAGGGTGTTTATGACAAGATTCTGACAGGAAAAGGCCCTGGAGGGAGGCCTCCGGGCAGTGGCTTGGGGGCTCTGGGGGTCCCAGTGTCTGCCTGTGTCCAGGAACCCTTGGCCTGTGGGTGGAGAGGGAGCACAGTCTTGGCTGAGGCAGGGCCCTTTCCCATCAGGCCTTTTGAACCCTGACAGGAAACCCTCCCCCAGCCAGGGCAGGCCTCCCGGGGCCGCAGCACGGGAGCTGCCCTGGGGGCCCGAGGGCCTCTGTCTGCCGCCAGGAGCCGCCCTGGGTCTCTGGGCCCCACGGGAGTGAGGGGCTCCCCTGGTTACCGCTGCGGCCCGTGTGGGGATGAAGCCCGGCTGCGCGGGTCCCCGAGACCTGTGCGGCCACCCTGCAGGGGTGAGAGGGAGGCGCGGCCCTCCCTGTCCTCGGGGCTGCGGTCTGAGGGGACAGGCAGCTGCCTCCGGGGGCGCTCAGCCAGGGCACAGCCCCTGCCCTTGGGGAAGACACACAGCTGCAGCCTGCAGGGAGGGCGCGTGTGGGGGCCGCGGGGGGCAGTCCGGCCCTTCGCTGGGGTCAGTCAGTCCACAGCTGAACAGTGTGTACAGAGGGAGGATTCCTCTGGGTTAGGGGCTCCCCTAGCCTTTGACCTTTGGGTCTGCTCTCCATGCCCCCCCAAACCCCAGACGCTTTGGACGCTGACAATGAGCCCCACCCCCAACTATGAGGAGCCCTGATACGGGGCCTTACTTCTCCCCCTTTTGTCCAGGAACCCGGCAGCCTGCTCCAGGATGGGACGGGGAGGGAAGAAGAACTGTGTGCGTGCGTGCGTGCGTGTGTGTGTGTGTGTGTGTATGTGTGTGTGTGTGCGCGGCTGTGAGCGTGCAAGCTCACGGTCCAGATGGGAGTGGAAGTCACTTCTTTAGGCTCTGTGCCGTGCAGGATGGTTCCCGCTTCCGCTGCCGGCCACCTGCGTCTGTCCCAGCCTCACTAGAGGGGTTTGGGCGCTGGCCCGGGGGGTGGAAGGTGGGCTTCGGGGGCAGGGCCAGCGTGGCGTCTGCACCCATGTTCGTGCTTCGTGGCCGTGGTGCTGGGTTGGACCCCATGAGGAAAGGTGTGGTAACGAAGGCCACTGCCTAGATTGGTGACCCCTGAACACCTACTACAGGCCAGGCTCTGGGGTAATGGCAAAGAGCTACTCCCAACCCACAGGCTCAGAGGGCACCCGTTTTGGGGGGGCGGGCACAGCCCTGTGTGCCTGGCGCCCTGAGGGAGGAAGTTGGGATGCTGGGTCCGAGTGACCCCTGGGAAGCCCTCAGGGGGAGCCTACTGTCAGAAGAGAGAAATGGGGTTTCGTCAGAGGAAGCGGGGAGCTGGTCCACATGGAGGAGGCACCTCAGGCAAAGGCGTGGGGACAGGAAGAGCCGCAGATGGCTCTGTAGCAGGGGGCCCGGGCCACTGAGGGTCGGTCCTCCCCACCATGGCTTCCAGCCGTTGACATTCAGCTGTGGGAGGTCGGGGGTGTCTGGGGCTGCCCACAGGGGCTACTCATCCCCCATGGAGGACCGAGCCAAGGTCCGGCTTCCCCAGGCTCTGGCAGCCGGGACTCCTAGGCGGTGCTGTGGAGGGAGTAGGTGGAAGCCATGTGCCACTTCGCTGCGGCCCGACCCCTCGGGGGTCCCTGGAGGGTCAGCTGTACCCGGGGTCAGTCCCACAGTCCCACAGCCATTACCAGGCAGCACCCAGGGCAGCTGGGGGTGGGTCCCCTGCTGGTAAAAGGGGCTCTGAGTGGGGTGCAACAGCACCGCTCACTAGAGCACCCGGCGCCCCCTGAGTGCTCGGGCCACATGGTAACTTGTCATTGTTGTCATCAGTGAGCATTCAGCTACTGAGCCCCCGCTCTGCGTGCGCCTCGTGTTGGAGGCTGAGGTCTAGAGGTGATGAGGCCGTTACCTCTGGCCCCTGCATTGCAGACACTTGTGGTCCGTGTGTGTATGTGTGCACATGTGCACATGCACCCACGCAGAAGGACAAGTAGGTACCCCCGTTTCAGCGCAGTGAGCTGATTGTTAGAAGGGACCCTGTCCAGTGTTCAGAGAGAGAGCCCAGAGGAGGAGGAATCTGACACAGTCTGGGGGAATCAGGGAGGGCTTCTCAGAGGAAGCAGCATTCAGCCAGAAGCACGAAGGGGTGATTCCCAGGTGCAGGAAGGAACAGGAGGCAGCCTAGGCAGAGGGCCACCTCGTGCTGAGCACTGTGGTTCTCTGTGACTGAGGCCACTGGCTTTGGCGCCTCACACGTGCCCCTCAGGAGTGGTAGGAGCTCGCCCCCTCTCCGGCCCCCCTCCGGCTCAGTGCCCCCGCCTACAGACATGAGTGTGCTACACTGAGGGAGGAAGAAGAGGCAGTGAAAGAAGGCGAGAACTCTCCTGTCTACCTTCCCCTCAAAGGGAGAAGTCCCCACGTCAGTAGAGCCCCAACAGGGAGTGGGCCGGACACCGGCAGGCCAGAGGATGGGGATGTGGGTGTTAAGCGTGACAGTCCAGGGGTGGCCATTTTGACGGCTGTCCTTCCTTTCCCTTCCCTTCCCTCTTCCAGGTTGAATTACCCCCCTATATGCCGAAGCCTGGAAGCTCATGCCTACTGAAAGAATACTTCAACCAGAGGACCCAGATGTGCTGTAGCAAGTGTCCGCCTGGTAAGCGGTGGGCACTGCGGCCCTGACCCACCGGAGAGAGTGTGGGGCGGGGGGGGCTTAGGGTGGGGTAGGGTCATGGCCCTCAATTCCTACTGAATTCCTTCTGGTTCCGCGAACTGGCCCCGTGCTGCCTCCTGCTTCAGGGCCTTTGCACATGCTGTTCCCTCTTCCTGGCATAGTTCCTGACTCCCTTTCTCTGCTTAGCATCTACTAAGTGTCAGGTGTTCTAAGTGCTTGGAAGACAACAGAGAGCGGGCAGAGAAAATCCTCACCCTCGTGGATTTGGCATCTGATAGAGGCACAGACAAATAAACCAACAGAGGAAACAGTTATGTGGGCCTATCAGGGTGAATGCTGTGAAGAAAACAAGGAGGGTACAGTTGGTGGAGACAGACGGAGTAGAACATGCTGTTTTATATGGGGTGGGTGGGGAGGGCTGCTGAAGGCCCTTGGGCAGAGGCGGGCAGAGTGAAGGAGTGCATTATCCAAATGTATAGGAAACAGCATGCCAGGCTGGGGAAACAGCAAGTGCAAAGGTCCTGAGGTAGGAGACTGGTTGGTGAATTTGAGAAACAGTGACGCCAGCGTGTGGCCCAGAGTGAGTAAGTTGGCAGGGGCCGTGGTAAGGAGTTTAAATTTTATTCTGCAGAAGCTAGGGAGCCATTGGAGGGCCTCTGAGCTGTTAGCTGAGGTGTGGGCAGGCACACATGTACCTGTCATTTCCCACAGTCATTTTAAGAGACCTCACAAGTGGCTCTTTTTCTCTTAATTGGCAGGGTCTTTGTAAGAAGTTACTGGATTAGCACAGCAGTGAATATGGCAGGATAGGGCTCAAGGCTCAAGAGAGAAGCTCCTTCGTGGTTTGCTTTGATGTTGTCCTATCTCCTGGCATGCCTTCTCTCCAGGCCCACAAGTCCCATGTCCTCATCCTTGATAGGAAACCGGGGACTACATACCTACTGTTGCCTTCCCACTAGCTCACACCCACAGGTGGAGCCTTGTAGCCATCAAGAAGAAAGGAGCTAGCAACCCAGTTCTCACTAAAGTGTGATTGACTAGTAACAGGCAGTTCCAGCGGTGGAATCCCAGGCATCTGGAAAGAACAGAGGGAAAGGTATTTTATGAGCATCAGGGGTTTAGAGATGGAGCGACAGCTAGGATCTGCAAGATGTCAGATGACTCAGTGAAGGACTTGGAACCCTTTCAAAGAGCCTTCCCGGCCAGGCTTCAGGATGCCGAGGCTCTGGGGGGTGGTGGATGAGCCCAGGGCCCTGGTAGAAGCCCCGCCCCACTGACCTCTGGCCCTTGCTTTCCCAGGCTACCACGCACAGGTGCTGTGCAACGAGACCTCAAATACCGTGTGTGCCCGCTGTGAGGACAGCACCTACACCAAGCTCTGGAACTGGGTGCACGAGTGCTTGAGCTGTGGCTCCCGTTGCACCACTGGTGAGTGGGCCAGAGCCGGGGCCGGGCCCGGACACCCTCCTCCAGCCGCTGTGCAGCCCAGCCCCTTTGACTGAAAGCTGGCCAGGGCTACCCCAGGCCAGTGTTTTCATGCCCCAGAGCATGGGGCTGCATTGGGTACAGCCCTTCACTTGGTAAAACACTTGGTAAAGAGTGTTTACCAACGGCACTTTTTTAAAAAGTTTATTTATTTATTTTGAGAGAGACAGAGACAGCGTGGGTTGGGGAGGAACAGAGAGAGAGGGAGTTAGAGAATCCTGAGCAATCTCCGCACCGTCCGTGCGGAGCCCGATGTGGGGCTCAAAGCCACGAAACCATGAGGTCGTGACCTGAGCCAAAACCAAGAGCTGGACGCTTAACCGACTGAGCCACCCAGGCGCCCCCCCAACAGCGTTGTCATCCTCACCTAAGCCCCTTTGACGGCCCATGGGGCAGGCAGGCCAAGGGCAGGCGTGAGAGAACGGTGCCCATTTTAGAGCTGAGGAAGCTGTGTCCGGAGAGCAGGGGTGTGTGCTCACGCTGTCGTGGAGATGCAGCGAGGCTTCAGGCCTCGGCCCTGCGTGGCCAGTGTTCTTTTTGCCCCGTGCTGGGGGAGCGGGATGGTCCACCAGCTGGTTGGAGCTCGGAGCTGTCTGCGGGGGGGGGGTGGGCTGGCTGGGGGGAGGCTGGGCGTGGTGGTGGGCAGGGCCGGCGGAGGCGGGAATGACCCTGGGCGGCCCTCTCGCTCTCGCAGACCAAGTGGAGACTCAAGCCTGCACCCCGGAACAGAACCGCATCTGCGCCTGCAGGCCGGGCTGGTACTGCACGTTTAGGAGGCAGGAAGGGTGCCGGCTGTGTGCGCCGCAGCGCAAGTGCCTCCCGGGCTTCGGCGTGGCCAAGCCAGGTAAGGGGCTGGAGCCAGCGGTCCCCAGGGACCCCCTTGGGCCTTTCCTTTGTGGGTATCAACCCACCAGCTCAGCCTGGGAATGTCAGCAGTGGTGGCCCGCTGCCCACCCGTTCCCCTTACGTTCTTTCCTCCAGCGTGCTGGATTAGGCTCCTACTGTGTGCTAGTCCTTGGGGCTCCAGAGATGAATTAGATTAAGCCCAGAGTTACTGGAACATCAGATGACCCACATGACCCCAGAGAACAGGAAGTCACTAGATTTGGTTAGCTGTAAAACTCTGCTGGTGCACGCGCGCACACACACTTGCGTGTTTTAAGGGATGGAGGTGAAGCGGGCCCGTAGGCTCCTGAGACTTCTCCTGGGGCTCCTGTGCGAAGGCCCAGTTGTTCTGCTAAGTATCTGAGGTGGTGACGGGTTCCCATTTTTCCTCGAAGGAACCGCCACGTCAGATGTGGTGTGTGCTCCCTGCGACCCAGGAACGTTCTCCGACACGACGTCATCCACAGATACCTGCAGGCCCCACCGGACGTGAGTGGCTGGAGGAGCAGGGAGGGTGGTCCCTGGGTGACTGGGGTCTAGGGCACAGACTGGCCTCGCCAGGGTGCCTGACATCAGGCATTGCCGAACACGCCTGTTCGCCTCCGGAATGGGTTCAGCCCAAGGTGGGTGGGTGGGTGGGGCCCAGCACAGATGGCAGGTGAGTAGTAGCTTTGTCCTGGAAGTCAACACTGGGTGGGGGCCTGGGGAGACGTGGGGAGGGGACAGACAGGGGCTGTTCTGTGTGGCACAAATGCTCTCTCCTGCCTGCTGGCTCCCACGAGGGAGCCCAGCCACGCTGAGCCCTCAGTCCTCTCTTGTGTCCTGACCAAGCCTCCTCCTCCCCCAGCTGTGGCTCAGTGGCCATCCCTGGCAATGCAACCACAGATGCCATCTGCGCGTCTGTGCCTCCCACCCCGAGGGTGGCCCCACGCCCGGCCTCCACGTCCCAGCCAGCATCTACACAGCCCCAGAAAATAGAGCCAACTCCAGGGCCTCGCACGGTCCCTAGCACCTCCCTTCTGTTCCCGATGGGCCCAAGCCCCCCAGCTGAAGGGCTCAGCACGGGCGACGTCTCTCTTCCAATTGGTAAGTCCCAGGAGGGCTCATTTAGCCTCCCTGCGTCCCTTCCTGTCTTCTATCTGTGAGTCTCCCAAGAGCCCGCCTCTGGCTGCACCGCGTGCTTGCCCTGGGAGGCCGGTGGCCGTGAGGCTCGGCTTCCTTAGAGACCTGGTGCTGCCACAAAGAACTGCCAGGCAGGAGAGGCGGGGTCAGCATTTTATCTGCAGGCAGAGGTGGTTTCCTGGTGAACTCATCAGCCGGTGGGCAGGGCCAGGTCACCCCACGGCCTTCCCTGCTGGGGTTGGGACTCCCTAAGATCTACCCAGAGATCTCAAACTGGTGACCCTGGGGCTGGATGTGGCCAAGAGACGTGTGTTTGGTTTGGTCAGATTTTTTTGGTTTATTGGTCTTGTGATTGAATTTGAGGGACTCTGGACTGGGCTTGCCCCGCCTGGGGTGACCCAGACACTGACTTGGCTGCCTGGCCCCCTGGTATGTTTGAGTTTGCCTTCTGCAAGTTGTTTTGAGCTTCTCTTTTTCCTTCTAGGACTGATCGTAGGTGTGACAGCCTTGGGTCTGGTGATCATAGGGCTGGTGAACTGTGTCATTATGACCCAGAAGAAAAGTAAGTCTCCATTCTTTCCTCATTCATGCATCCGTTTGTTCAGGAAGCTTTTCTGGGGTGCCTCCGGGCAGTCCGGTGCAGGCCACAGCCTTGTGGGTCAGACATCTGGATAGGGGAGCCCCTGTGATGTAGGAGCTCAGAACCTGGGGTACAAGGCAGTGCCACGAACTTGCCTACTAAAGAGGCAAGATGCAGGGCACCTGAGTGGCTCAGTTGATTGAGCGTCTGACTTTGGCTCGAGTCATGATCTCAGGGTTGGTGAGTTTGAACCCCACAGCAGGCTCTGTGCCGACAGTGCTGAGCCTGCCTCTGGATCCTCTGTCTCTCTCTGCCCCTCTCCTGCTTGTGTTCTCCCTCTTTCTTTCTCTCAAAAATAAACATTAGAGGCACCTGGGTGGCTCAGTCGGGTAAGCATCTGACTTGACTCAGGTCATGATCTCACAGTTCATGGGTTCGAGCCCTCCGTTGGGCTCTGTGCTGACAGCTCAGGGCCTGGAGCCTGCTTCTGATTCTGTGTCTCCCCCATTCTCTGCCCCTCCCCTGCTCATGCTCTCTCTCTCTCTCTCTCAATGATAAAAACTTATTTAAAAAGCCCATTAAATTTAAAAAAAGTCCTCTAAAGGGGCAAGACTCCATCAGAGCTGTCCAAGGAGGTGGGAGTCTAGGATTGTTGTTGGGAAATCCTGGGGGCCTTATGGAGCAGGTGACGTCTAGGCTGAGTCAGATTTCCACGGGCAGATGAATGTGTGTAGGAAAGAAAAGGCCGGCTAAGGAGAAGGCCTGGCGCGAGCACATAGTGGGGTGCTGGAGAAGGGTGAAGTGTGTGTGTGGGGGGCACGGCTGGGCACCCCGGGGAGTTGGGAATGGCAGCTTGCGCCGCCCCTGGGGCCAGGCCTACCCTGGCTGGTTCCTCTTGGGCCCCATGCTGCCCTCCTAAGTTAGAGCAGGTGTGGCCTAAGAAGGCCACACACCCTGACTTGTCCCCTCTCCTTCTTTGCAGAGAAGCCCTTCTGTCTACAAGGAGAAGCCAAAGTGGTGAGTGCCCCTCTCTGTCCCCCCCCACCACCAGTCCCCTTATTGCTGGGCCGTGTCGTGCCCACGGGCACTAGTGCATTCTGGGGGTTGGTCTGCCCGGTGTCAGGTGGTGCGCACCCGGGGAGGCCGAGGAAGGGCCAGCCAGTATCTGCCCCTGGGGGTTAGGCAGCCCTCCCTGGGCTCAGAGAGACAGCTGAGTGTGAAGTGCAGTATCAGAGCAGGGGGGGTTGGTGGTGTCCGTGGCAGGCGCCTTCCTGGACCCGGAGCGGGAGGATGGGCAGGTGTGACATTGCTCTCGACTCTGTCTCCTCACTGTTAAAAGGAAACAGTGTCTCAGCCCAGCTGGCGGGCAGTGCTGTTCACTCAGCGACAGCAGTTGGCAGGCTCGACAAAGCGCTTCCTCACGGAGCCCCGCTGGGGTTCCCTGGTTTTCCAGAGGGCCTCGCCTTGTCTCTGGGGTTGAGGTAGAGACGGGGGGTTTGGGTCCCGAGCCCTGGGTCCGGCTCTCCACTTCAATCAAAGCGACTCACTTTTGATCCTTTTATTTTTTAATTAAAATTTTTTTTTCGCATTTATTTACTTTTGAGACAGAGCGTGAGTGGGGGAGGGGCACAGAGAGGGAGGGAGGCACAGATTCGGAAGCAGGCCCCAGGCTCTGTGCTGTCAGCCTAGAGCCCGATGTCGGGCTTGAACTCATGAACTATGAGATCATGACCAAGCTGAAGTTGGACACTTAAGCGACTGAGGCACTCAGGTGCCATTTTTAAATTTTTTTTTAAGTGTTTATTTTTGATGGAGAGAGATAGAGCATGAATGGGGATGGACAGAGAGACAGGGAGACACAGAATCCAAAGCAGGCTCCAAGCTCTGAGCTGCCAGCACAGAGCCCGACGTGGGGCTCAAACCCACGAACACGAACCACAAGATCGTGACCTGACCTGAGCTGCTGACTGGGCCACTCAGGTGCCCTGATCCTTTTTTTTTTTTTTTTTATAAAGTAGGGTCTGTGAGGGACTTTTGTTAGAGACAAACCACGGACAAAGTAGTTCATCAGTTTCTCATCAGGAAGACCTTGGCCTGCAAGTGACTGAACACTTACGGGTGACTTAAAGGGGCTTTTTCTCGCATCCCAGAGAGTCGAGGGGCTGCCAGCTGCTGGGTTGCATCCTTCTGTGAGGTCCGTGGGACCCTAGGCTCCGGCACCCTCAGCCTGTTGGCCTTTGTTCTCTTGCTTGTGGCCTTAGACCAGAAGTTAGTGGTCCCCACTTTGCATGTGGCCTCCAGGTTTGAGGCAGAAAAAAGGAGAAAGTGGCCAGGCCAGCGATGGTGCCTTTTATCCGGAAATCAGATGCTGTCCCCGGAGCCCTGGGTGGCCTTCTCCTTTCCTCTCATTGGCCAGAGTGGTGTCGTGGGGACCACCCCTACCTGCAAGGGGTGGGGGCTAGAAAAGGGGGTGCTTTGCTTTCCCAGCCTCTATGCTGGAGGAGGGCAGGGATGGGGCTTGGAAATGGGTGTGGGGTGAGCCAGTACACAGTGCTTGCTGCAACCCCGTACCTGGTAGGCAGGGCAGAAGTTTTACCCACTTTACAGATGGGGAAACAGAGTCTGAGGCGCTCCCTCCGTGTCCCCTGTCCTGCTTGGGCAAGGTTTCTTAACTTCAGCAATTTTGATATTTGGGGCCCGGTAATTGTTTTTCATGGGGGGCTGTCCTGTGCATTGGAGGCTGTTCGGCAATATCACTGGCTTCTCCCCCCTAGATGCCAGTAGTGTTTTTTCTCAGGAGCAGCAACCGAAAATGCCTCCAGATCCTGCAGAATGATCCCTGGGGGACAGGCTTGCCCCTGATGGAGAACTGCTGTGCCGGGGAAGGAGCTCAGCCCTCGGTGGCCCAGTGCCCAGGGTTCACACAAGGGAGTTGGACTTGGTAGGGACTAGAGACTGATCTCCCCCCTGGCAAGAGAAGAGGTGCAGAGAGGGAAAGTGACTTTTCCAAGGTCGTACAGCAGTGTGTTTCTGGACTCCTGGCCCAGTGCTTTTTGTCCTGCCGTGCAGCATCTCAGCAGACGTACGTTCTGATTTGGAAGTTCAAACTGTTTCCCTTTCCTCCAGGGTGCAAATGCCACTCCTTCCCTTTCCTCTGGCTTCAGTTCAGCGACGCTGACGGCTGCTGCCCGGTGGCGTGGACGGCCAGCACACCCGGCAGCCTGGCTGCCACATTCTGTCCCCTGCCAAGGGTTTCCCAACACTCGTGACGATGTCTCAATGTGGCCCCAGCAGCCTCCACTTCCCCTTTCTATTGAGGAGTTTCATGTTCGCTGAGTGTAGCTCGCTTATTTGTAGAGTGTGGTTGAGCATAGAGCCCCGTGGTGTGCTGCTAACCGGCTCTCTGGGCAGGAAAACAACAACAACAACCCAAACTCTAATTTGCGGCGTTTGCTCACATTATTATAAATTCCCACCGTGGCTGATCTCAGGCTGCCGAGCGTGCAGCCGAACGCTTGCTGAGCGTGCAGCTGGGGGGAAGTGCGGGAGCCGCTGCTGGCGGAGCCCCATGCGTACCCCTCACGTAGCCCTGTGAGGTAAGCACTAGCGCCCATTCCATTATACAGATGGGGACACTGAGACTCAGCGAGGGCCCATTACCCGTGTAAGGTTAGATCACTGTTAAGAGGCATAGCCTGGGTTCAAGACTTAGTCTGAATCTGGAGGCTTTGCCCTTATCCCCCAGCAGGGTCTGCCCTCACAGGGTGGGCGTCTTGCCAGGGTGCCCTCCGGTACCCAGGCTCCCACCCCTGCCCCGCCATGCTTAGCCTGTGCCCACCCTTCCTTACCCACCCCTGTTGAGAGGCTGCCTGGTCATGCTCCAGACCTGGGCCGCCGCGGTTGAGAGTAGGGAGACCCAGAGCCCCCCGCCCCTCCTGCTGCGGAAGTGACTCCGAGGCGCGGTGGGACGGTGGCCTCCCTTTGCTGGGACGAGGCCAGCATCACATATGTGAGCTCACCCACAGCCAGTCACTCCCACAGATACACTCACGCGTGGGCTCACGTTGAACAATGGGAGTGAGTGTTTGTTGTGAGGTGCCGAGCGTGTGTGCTCGTGCACTGTTTAGTCTCACAGCCATGCTGTGACCCAGGCAGTATGATTGTTGCCCCAATTTTTATTTGGGAAATAAAAGTTGGGCTCAGAGAAGTTAAGTAACTTTCCGTAGGTCACGCAGCTAATGAGAGTGGCCAGAGACGCAAGCCTCTCGTCACCACCCCCCACGTGCACACTAGCTGCCCTCACACATGCCCACCCACCCACACACACCTCTACATACAGATGTGTGAGCCCCATGAGCATGTACTCAGACAGACATGGAAGATGGAGGACCTGGCTGGTGGCTCTGCCAGTCTCTGCTTCTGGCCATGGTGGGGCTGGGCCATGCTGGGGGCGGGCTGGCTGGAGCAGTGGTTTCTGAGTGAGCTTCCTCCGTACTCCCCCTCCCTGGAGTCCCAGCCCGGGGAACGGGACTCAGGGTGCATCTGCCCCACTCAGAGCCTTCCTGAACTTTGCAGCTTGTGGCTTTGGGGGAGGGAGGCGGATTGTGACCTTTGGGGGTTCCTGCTCTGTGCAGTGCCAGCCACAGGTAGAGGAACAGGAGACTGGCCCAAAAAGCCCCTTCGTTGGGGTTGTAAGAAATGACATTTGGGTGCCCCTCCTGTCCTTCCTTCCCCTGCCTGTCCAAGCTCAGAGCAGAGGCAGGAGTGCAGTCTAGTGGCCTAGATCAGACCACATGGGCAAAGGTTTAGCCTGAACTTGAGATGCCCTCCATGACTCCAAAGCTGGGGGGCCATAAGCCAGGGAGGTGGGACGCAGTGGGAAGCCAGCATCTCTACTACACTGATCTGGGCTCATTCTGTCTCCACCACAGACCAGACTGGCTGTGATACTAAGCCAGGGAGTCACCCTCTCTAGGACTCTGTGGCCTCAAGGGACAGCTTGCAGAAAAGATCCTTCCTTCCTGATGACAGAGGCAGACTCAGCTGTGGGAAAAGCCATGGCCATGGTGGGCGGGGCAGTGGCGGGGCCGCCATGGTGATTGGCCAGAGAGCAGACTGCTCAGAGCTCGCTTGGAACTGGTGGCCAAGGGGTCTCAGCCTTTCCTGCAGAGTGGGCCCAACATGCCCCTACCCCAATAGCAAAGGCCTTCGCTCTTGACCCTCACCTCCCCCTTACTGTACTAGGCCATGTCCACCAGCCCTTCCCTTGCCTTTGTCCTCATTCCACCTGGGCCCCTCTCATCTTGCACTGGCCCAGTGCCCAAGGGCAGCAAGTGAGAACGTGGGCCCCTCTGTCTCCTTTCTTCCTGGGATCCAGCGATCACCCGGGACCCCAAGGCAAAGGCCTGTGTGCCTACTCAGTGGGTGTAGGCAGGTGCCAGGCTCTGAGTGGAGTTTCTGGGTGCCCCCCAGCAGGGATGCCCGGACACCGGCACCTTGTCTTGGGGCTCCAGACCTTGAAAACCCAGACACTCAGGAAAGCTGTCAAGGGTTTTAGCCCACTTTACCACGTCTTAACTGTGTGACTTCGGGTAAATAACTCAGCCTGTCTGGGCCTTGGTTGCTACGTCTGCAAACACCGGGCTGTTAGAAGTATTAATAAAGTGTTTTAGAAGGACTTCAGCTCAGCTCAGTGCTTGGCACTGAACGGCACTCAAATATTGGCTAATATTTTATTATTATTGTTGGCATTATTTATGTTCTCCTATGGGGAAAGTAAGATGTTAGGAGTTAGTCACAGAGCAGGCTCGGGGAATAGAATCTGGAAAGGGTTCCTGACATGGCATGGCCCAGGGCTCTAAATAAAAGGGCTGTCTACCCTGGAATGATTGGTTGAACATGAGGGCCAGCGAACATTTCCATGAAGGGCCAGACAGTAAACATTTTAGGCTTTTTGGGTCAGACGGCCTCTGTTATAGCTGCTCAAACCTGGCATGGTAGCCAGAAAGCAGCCACAGATGGTACATGAGCAAACAAGAGTGGCTGTCTTCCAATACAGTTGTGTTTATGGGCACTAAAACTTAAAGGGCACATAATTTTGCATGTCACAAAATATCATTCTTTAAACATTTTTTTCAGTCATTTAAAAAAATCTAAAGACCCTTCTCGGCCCGCAGGCTGTTGGGACAAAAACAGTAGCTTGGCTCATGGGAGCAGTTTGCCCTCCCCTGATTTAACAAACCCTTGTAATGAGCTTTACTGTGTAACCGGCATTATTCTGAGCACTTTACAAATATCCAGCCATTGAATCTTCATGACAGCCCAGGTTTTTAATTCTTCCTTGATATCTGGAAGAAAGGAAGCACAGAAAGGTTAGGTAACTTGTCCAGGGTCACACAGATAGGAAGGGATGGAGTCATGATTTTGTACGTATGCGGTGTGGTTCCTGAGTCCATGCTCTTGGCGGCTAGGCTGGACCATATCACCCTGTGCTGTTGGGAGTGACCTTAGGAAAGTCCCTCTCCTTCTCCGGGCCTGTTTCCTTATGCAAAATGAGGATGAAGACCCTGCCCCATCTCTAGGACTGTTTGGTGAATAGTCCCGCCCTCTAAGGCCTCACAGCCAAATGCTAATCACAGAAATCATGCAGAATCCCAAGTCCTGAATGTGCCAGAGTGTGGAAAGAACATGTGGGTGTGGGCAGAAGCGCCGTGTAAACTGTGAAGTGCTGGTGTCATGGGGGTGCAGAAGGGAGAGGGTGCAGAAGGGTGCCTGGGTGTGAGAAGGGAGAAGGAAGACAAGCCGGCTGATGGGCTGACTGCTTCCCCCTCCTCTCCTGCCCGTCCAGCCTCACCTGCCTGCGGATAAGGCCCGAGGTGCCCCCGGCCCCGAGCAGCAGCACCTGCTGACCACAGCGCCCAGCTCCAGCAGCAGCTCCCTGGAGAGCTCAGGCAGCGCTGCAGACAGAAGGGTGCCCACCGGGACCCGGCTGCCTGCGCTGGGCACCGAGAAGGCCCCTGGGTCCGGGGAGGCCCGGGCCAGCTCCAGCCACTCAGGTAAGAGGGGGCAGCCCATCTGGCTTCACGCCCTGCCCTTCGTTGTGTTTCTTGCTGGTTTCTGGCTTAGGCGGCCCCTGCTGGGCCTCCCCCGTAGGGCAAGGCCTGAGTGCCTAGCCGGGTACTGGAATGACTGTGTGACTAGCCGTGGCTCGCCCTCCAGCCTCATCTCCCCCTCAGATGCGACGCTGAGCCCCAAGCCTCTTTCATATCTCTGAACCCACTAGATCTCTCCCACCACTGCCCACCTGGGTTCTTCCACCAGAAACACCCCCCCTTCTAGACGGTCCCAGCTTGTTCTTCGAGTCACTGATACCCAGGAAGGGAGTTTTCCTGTCGGGTGTAACATATAAATATTATGTTATCACACAATTATTATATATTCTATAATGCTTATTGTATACTATATACTATTATATAACATATATTATTATAGTATTACATTAGGACCTATTATATTTTATAGATGAGGAACTGAGGCCCAGAGAGGTTGAAGAGCTTGTTCAAGAGCACACAGCTAGGTTACGGAAGAGCCAGGAATACCCCCTGGGCTATCAGGCTCCAGAGGCCTGGGGCGGAACCCTGAATGAATAAATGGTGTGTTCAGGGCTCCACTCACTGTGGTCCATTGCTCAGTCCTTTGGACCTGAAGCATTGGGACCGTGGGGACCTTGTGGGTTCTGGAGAAGCCCAGGCCCCATTTACGCAGCTACGTCTTGCCCTGGACCCGATCTGTGACAGAGGGGCATCCGTGGTGAGAAGCTTCGGTGCCCAGAAGGCCTGGGGCTCTCTTGATGTATTTTGTAGCGACAGGCGAAGTCCACTGGCCCTCGTCTCAGGACGGTGCGCTCAGGTCCTTCCCAGAGGCCTTCCTGGCCGCCCTGGTGCAGTGAGAATCTGAACGGGCTCCTTAGCCCTGCCGAGCCTCAGTTTCCTCAGCTGGAGATGAGCACAGCACCTCCTCGGCAGGGCTGCAACACCTCTTCCTACCTGATTGCAGGACTGCTCCCTCCCCGGCTGTGTGTTCCCCCCAACGGTGTGACGTCTGCTCAGCGTCCTGACCCAGCCTGTGAGCTCCCCGAGGGAGGGACATAGCCTGTGCTCCTAAACCTGTTGACTGAGGGAGCGGAACTCCAAATACAAACCCCTGGGCTTTGTCCGGCTCTTGGTTTCATCCTTCTGATTTCCTAGTGACAGCTCTTCCACTGTCATCCCGGCCCCTTGACCATGTCTGCCCACTCCTCCTCCTCCCCCTCCTCCTCCTCCTCTTCCTCCTCCTCCTCCTCCATTTATTTTGAAAGAGAGAGAGAGATAGAGCATGAGCAGGGGAGGGGCAGAGAGAGAGGGAGGAGAGGGAGACACAGAATCCGAAGCAGGCTCCAGGCTCCAAGCTGTCAGCGCAGAGCCCGACGTGGGGCTTGAACTCACAAACCACGAGATTATGACCTGAGCTGAAGTTGGACACTTAACTGACTGAGCCACCCAGGCACCACCCCCCTACTTTAAAAAAAAAAAAATGTTTATTTTTGAGAGCTATAGGGCGTGAGCGGGGGAGGGGCAGAGAGAGAGGGAGTCTGCCCACCCCTCCTACCCTCTGCCCCTTCTCTGTTCCCCACCCAACTCTCTGGTGTCACCTGCACTCTCTCCCCTTCTCTCCTCCCCTCCCCCCGTCACCTCTCTCTACTGTGGGAACACGTAGCTGTGCCCCTGTGTAGTCCCCCATCCACCCCTGCAATGTCTCATTCACCATGTGCAAAGGCCGTGGTGACTGGGTGACATTTGGGTGCCGTGGAGGCTCAGGGTGGAAATTTCCTTGCGGCGCTATGAGTTCAGCCCTCCCTCCCCCGGCCTGTTCGGGGCTGTTCTGAGGAGAGCAGCTCGCTGTCCCCATCCTGCTTCCAGGGGAGTTGGAAATGCATGTCCATCGGGCCCTGCCCTGCACCCCAGACAGCACGCGTGTCTGGGGGCTTGGAAAGTCCCTGCAGGAGCAGCAGGAGCCACTCTCACTCTTCGAGGGGCTGTCGTGTGTCCCCTCTAAGCTCATCTAGCAGCCGGTCCCTCACCAACTAGTTAGGAAACCCAGATGCCCTAGGGCTGGAAGGTGGGCGGCATCCTGGCCTCAGTGGTGAGGACAAACCACCCCCACCCCATTCTGGAATCTCGGATTTAGGAAATCACAGCCCTACGTAGGCAGCCCTACGTGGAAGAAAAAGGTTTGGGGCGAAAAGAAGAACGTCAGAGCCGGTGTTTCATCTCCACAAAGGAGCAATTTCCAAACCCTTTGATGTTGCTTTCGTGTTACCCAGATAAGGGGCCAGTGACAGAGGACTCTCGCCTTTGCAGAGTCGATGTGGCCAGGACAGCCGAGGCTTCCCGCGCTTACGGGAGAGTAACTCACGCTGGTGGCCTGGTCACCGTTCTGTGATGTGTACTTCCTGTCCCTGCTCACTTCTCTGAGTCTCTGTGGGGAGTATGTTTTGTTCCTGGAGCACCTTCACCTGCTTTATGAACTGGCTCCTCCCATCTATTGGGTGAGCTGGGCCGGGAATTACCTGACAGATGAGGAAACTGGAAATGGAGGCAATGAAGGTTAAGTGACTTGCCCAAGATTACTTAGCGGAGCTGGGCTAGAACCCTGGCCTCTAGGCCCTTGGCCCAGTGCTGTTGACCCTTTTATCTTAGTCTGTCTCTTGGGCAGGTGACAGGCTGTGAAGACATCTTCCTCCAGACCCCTGCCTCACCACCCTCCCCCATCTTGTGTTCAACAGAGCCTTCCTCTGGCGGCCACGGGACCCAGGTCAATGTCACATGCATCGTGAACGTGTGCAGCGGCTCCGACCATGGCTCTCAGTGTGCCTCCCAGGCCAGCTACCCGACGGGGGACGTGGATTCCAGCCCCTCCGGCTCCCCAAATGATGAGCAGGTCCCCTTCTCCAAGGAAGAATGCCCTTTTCAGTCCCAGCCAGGGGCCCCAGAGACTCTGCTGGAGAACCCAGAGGAGAAGCCCCTGCCCCTTGGTGTGCCTGACGCTGGGATGAAGCCCAGTTAGCCAGACCGACTGGCCTGAGTCGTTCCCTGGTCCTTCCAGGCCCCCACCCCCAGGACTCTGGCTCTTTCTGGGCCAAATTCCTTTAGTGGTCTTCACAGCCTCAGCCTTCCTCTCACCTGCTGGCAGAAGGGTGAGGCAGGGAGAACCGTGGAAAACCTCTCCTGTGTGGTGGTGCGCATCCCTCTCAGACGGCTGGCCCGACATGCACGTCTGGGCGGCCTGGAGCTGCCCCCCCCTCCTCTCAGAGCTGTCCCCCAGCCGGTCCTGCGAATTTGGCTTCTGGAACCCTTACTTTGTTTTTTATCCTTGGACATTACCCAGCTCCGGCTTCCTGGGAGGCCCCAGCATCCTGCCTTCCAGTGGGGCCTGCTGGGTAAGAGGGACTCTGGGTGAGTCATCCGCGGAGAAGGGGCGGCGCTTTAGCCCGGGATGCTGAGACTGCAGGATGGTCCCAGCGGGGGCGGGGCATGGGGTGTCACCGATCAGATGGTTCTGTTCAGGAGGGGGCGGCAACCCCTGATGGGGACGGGGGTCCCCCGGCTACCTTGCACCACCTCCAGATCCAGTGCTGCCAGCTTCACCTCCTGCGCAACCGTGCGAACATCAGGCACCCAGAGGGCCCAGCCAAGCAACCTGCATGAGTACTGTCGCTTGGGCAAGATGGCAAACCTCTAACCAAAACCCTTCCAGTTTCAACATGGGGCAATTAAAAAACAAAAATCAAAAACCAAAACCCCACCATGCGTGCAAGGACAGAAGGACAAAGCCAAACTCAGAGTTTGCTGTTCTCTGCTTTTGACCTTCACTCCGATTTACCTACAGCTCCGATGCAAGGCCACACCTCCTATCAGGGAATTTCAGGAACTGGAGATGACCGAGGCTCCCCGCAGCCATCTCCCTCCTCCTACCTCAGCCTGGACCTTCCCCTGCCTCCCCGGGAGGTGCTTTTCTTCCGCTCAACCCCCCTTCACTGTTCCTGGAGTCCCAGGCCCCAGGGAAACCCACGGGGCCACTTGGGTATCGTGCCTGCCATGATCTCAAGTGGATGTGAGATGCTGAGAGCCAGTTTTGTGTGTGTATGTGTCTGTCTGTCTGTGTCATGTGCTGTTGGTCTGTGTAGCCGTGTTGGGTTGAATGGCCTACCGGAAGCAGCTGAAACCAACAGTTTTTGGTGTTTTTTTTTTTTTTTGGTCAAAGGATTCTTTTCCATTAAAAAGTCAGTCTGCTTCCCCCAAACACATGCCCCAGAGCCCTGCAGAGCATGGACCTGTGTGGCCTTGACCCAATTCTGGAAGCAAGAGGGGACTCCTGGAGAAGCCAGTTGGGTCCCAGGTACTTGGATCCCTTATTGAAAAATTCCACTGGACTTGAACTTGGCAGCTGAACTTTCGGAGGGTAGGAGAGTCCAGTCATTACCATGATGAGAAACTAACGGCTTCCCAGAAAATCAGGATTCCCCTGGAGTCAGGATTTCCTACCGCCTGGACTGGCCAGGGTCTCTGCCCACATTGGACGATGGGTGGTGATGGAGCATGTCTGCCCCCTGGTGGACCACCCTGGTAGGACCTCAGGCCTCACTGCCATCTCCCGGGGAAGCTCTGAATTGGAAGGAGACCGTTTCTGGGTGTGTGGCCCCAGTTCCTAGGCTTGCGTGGATCCCAAGACAAGAGTTGCACTGTATACTGGATGGCACACCTGCTTAGAAATAAACGTTTTGTTTCTTACACGTTGACTCCTGGCTCTGGCTTTGGGTCTGAGCCGGGGTTTGTCCGTGGTCTCCTACTTGCTCGCCGCCAGTGTCAGGGGGAGATGGAGTCTTGGCCCCTGTGCTGACCGGACCTGAGAATCACCCCCGGAAGCATAGCTGTCAGCTGAGAGCCTCGCCGCGCTCTCAGGCCCCGGATCACTCAGCTGGCCTCTGACTATGCCCCCATCACGTGCCCTGTCGCCTCAGTGTCCTCAGCTTGCTCTCAGGGTTAACTGGGGTCTCTGCAGACCTGTCCACATGCAGCCCCCCCTTTGCTCACTTCAGGGAGTGAGGCTCTGGCCTCCAGGAGGCTCCAGTGTGGGTGACATCAATGAGGCCCGTCACAGGGGGCTCAGAGGAGCCTGGGGGTGGGGAGGTGCAGTTCTGGGAGCTGCCGCAGGAGGGTTCTGGAGGTGGCCTTTGACCTGTGCCTGAGGTGTGAGCAGTTTTCCAGCACAAACAGCGGGGAGGAGGTTGCAGGCAAAGGGAGTTCATGTAAAAGGCCAGGAGGGGAGAGAGACCCCGGCCCTTGAATTCCTTACGCCGACCCCTGGGTCACTCACCCCTGTCCCTGGGCCACTGCCACGCCCGCAGCACCATTCTGAGTGGTTTCCTGGGCCTCCACTCCTCCCGCAGCCCCGCCCTCCACCCTGTCTATACCCTAGAGCAGGGAAACTCTTCCTGTAAAGAGGCACCTAGTAAATATTTTCCACTTGGGGGCTCTTACAGTTTCAGTCACAACTACCCAATTCTGCTGAAGTGTGAGAGCAGACACGGCGCGTCCACAAATGAGGGTCCGCGCCGTCCACACCACCAGGCAATTCCCTGCTTCTCGGCAGGCAGCGGCGACGTGTCCTACAGAATGGACTCCCTTCTGCAGGCACGGGACCCCCAGGGTAAGTGGGCCCGAGCCCACTTCAGACACCAGTCCCAGGGCCAGGGGGCCACCTGTGCTCCTGAATGACTGGCTGTGTGTCGAGGTTCCCATGACCCCCTCTTGGGGTTCCATTTCTTCTCCAGGGCGGCCCACGGGACTCAGGAGACCGGTTTACTTACTAGAGTCCCCATTTATTGCAAAGACTCTAGAACATACAGACGGGAGAGTTGGCAGAGGGCAAGCTTTATACATGGGAATGGGCTGCAGCGCCTGGTCCCCCTGGGGGTGTGCCTCCTGCCCCACCCCAGCCCCGCCCTGTGTTCACCAATGTGATAGCTGCCCGAACCCTGCCCTCTTAGGTCTCTGTGGAGGCCTTGTTACAGGGGCATGATCGATTAAGTCACTGGCCGTTGGTGATTGATCGAACCTCCAGCCCCCCTCCCCAACCCCGGAAGTAGCGGTCCGACCCTCTAGTCACAGGGTTGAATCCTGGGGCAGCTTTCCCAAGTCAGCTGTGGGTGAAATGGGCTTGTCACGAGTAACAAGACACCCCTTTCACCTGTGTGGCCCTGGAGCTATTTCCAGAACTGAGGACACAAGGCCAAATACTAGAACAAAAGCTACAATGCTCCCATAGCTCTTCTCGCTTAGGAAATTTTAAGCGTTGGAGGGGCTGTGAGGCCAGAAACAGACCAAATATATAGTTCTTATTATACATCACAATATCAGAGGATGTAACTTTGGTGCAACTGAGGGCAGCCTGATGGGGTAACCTGTCAAAACGGGCCACATGCAGCCCCTCCTGCCTCTTTTTTTTTTTTTTTTTTGAGAGCGAGATAGTGGGGGAGGGGCAGAGAGAAGGGAACAGAGGATCCAGAGCTGGCTCCGTGCTGATAGGCTGACAGCAGAGAGCCTGATGTGGGACTCGAACCCACCACCCGCAAGATCACAACCTGAGTCAAAGTTGAGCAGTCAATTGACTGCGCCACCCAGGTGCCCCCTCTTTTTCTTTTTAACCTTGTTGGAGGGACTAGTTTTGCTAAGGCAGGGCTGATGTGGGGAGAGGGGTTGGGGAGGGGGTGACCGCGGTTTTTCTCCGGCTAATTTTCTTTTTTTTTTTATTTTTATTTTTATTTTTATTTATTTCTAGGAGAGAGAGAGAGAGAGACAGCGTGAGCAGGGGAGGGTCAGAGAGAGAGGGAGTCACAGACTGAAACAGGCTCCAGGCTCTGAGCTGGCAGTCAGCATAGAGCCCGACGCGGGGCTCGAACCCACGAACCGCGAGATCATGACCTAAGCGAAAGCCGGACGCTTAACCGACTAAGCCACCCAGGCGCCCCTCTCCGGCTAATTTTCATGCAGCCAGCATTGCTATCGGGCACTCTGATGCACTAGCCCAGAAGTCAAACCTGGAAAAGTCAAACCAGGTGCCCAGGTGAGGCCACGTCCTGTGTGACCCAAGGGAAATTAATTAACTTCTCTGTGCCTCACGCTCCTTATCTGTAAAATAGGATTAAAATAGTACTTCCCTCGAGTTCGGGATTACTTGAGTTCCTATCTGTAAAATGCTTAGAACTATACCTGGCACATGGTAAGTGCTCAATAAATGCTAGGTGCTATTTTGTGTGTGGAGGTGCTGGGATGCGTGAGTCCCAGAGTCAAGGTCCTTTGTCCAGAGCTCATATGCCAGGAAGGACTATGTAGAGAAATACATGTAGACTATGCCGGGGGATGGTATGTGCTACGAAGAAAGATAAAGCAGCAACAACAGGAAGAGAGGGACATGGGTGCTGCTAGCTTGTGGGTGGGGAGAGGAAGTCTCCGAGGAGCTGGTGTTGACCAGAGGCCTCACTGAAGGGCGGGCAGCGCGGCCTTGGGACTCGGGGTGGGCAGGACATGAGGTTGTGAAGGTGGCTTCAGAAAGAAAGGATGTACGGTATTATGTTTTAGTGTGTCGGAGGGGTCCAGGGAGTGTAAGTTCCTTTTTTTTTTTTTTAATGTTTTATTTATTTCTGAGGGAGAGCGCAAGTGGGGGAGGGGCAGAGAGAGGGGGACAGAGGACCTGAAGCCGGCTCCCAGTTGACAGCAGCGATCGGGGCTCAAGCTCACGAAACCAGGAGGTCACCACCTGAGCCAAAGTCAGACACTCAATCGGCTGAGCCGCCCGGGCGCCCCTGGAGTGTGAGAAGTCCCTTAACTTGTCTGGTCTGCGACTTGGGCAACTGAGCTTCAGTTATTTTATCTCCGTAATCACCCCAGGAGTTGGGCAGAGTACCCATTATCCCCGCTCTGCAGAGGAGGGCACCTGGGGCAGAGCCGGAGGTTTGATGCTTATCTAGACTCAAGTTGAGAGCACAGCCTGTTTCCCGTGGGAGGCTCCTGATAACCAGCTCCTTAGAATTTCACCAGAAAGTCAACTGCGGCCTGGCTTTAAAGGGCAAGTACTCAATCTCTCTCTCTCTCTCTCTGTGTGTCTCTCTCTCTCTCTCTCTTTCTCCTGGGACTCCCCTGCCCTGCCTGGAGCTCCATAATCAAAAGCCAGCAAGCAGGGCAGTATCTGGAAAGCTGGGAAACTGAGCTGAGAGGCTGCTTGGGAGGAGACCCTGGATTATGTCCTGACCACCGGAGGCCCGGCAGCGTGAACCTAAACTAGCCACTGTCCTCCTCTGGGGCTCAGAATCTCCATCTGTAAGACAAGGGGGCTGCCCTGAGGTGTGGTCTGTCCTTGCACTTCCCGCAGGGCTGTCTCCATCTTCACAAGATGTTCTGGACCTGCGCCGTCACCTATGGAAGCCACTGGGCGTGTGCAGATATCGGGGACCCGAGTGCGGATATCGGGCACCCGAGTGCAGCTAGGCCAGACTGAGATGTGGGTTCTACATCTCAATACAGAGTACCGAATTTTGAAGACTTAGTGCAAAACATATTTATAGAATATTAATAATGTTATATCAATTGTGTATTGGCATATTTTGGAGATGTTAGGTAAATATTAACAATTATACCAATGTCTTTCCACTCTAATGTGAATACTAGAACATTTAGAATTATGTACGGTTTGAACTATAGGTTTATCAGACAGTTAAATGCCTTCAAGATCTGATGAAATTACTTTATAATTTAAAATCACAACCTCTTGGGGCGCCTGGGTGACTTAGTCGGTTAAGCGTCCGACTTTCGCTTAGGTCATGATCTCGCGGTTCGTGGGTTCGGGCCCCGCGTCGGGCTCTGTGCTGACTGCCGGCTCAGAGCCTGGAGCCTGTTTCAGTCTGTGACTCTCTCTCTCTCTGACCCTCTCCTGCTCACGCTGTCTCTCTCTCTCTCCTAGAAATAAATAAAAAATATTAATAAAATAAAATAAAATAGAATCACAACCTCTTCCCCCCCCCCCCCCCGCGCCAAGATCCCTACCTCCCCTATGGGGACTCTTACAGTTCTTACCATCTGCTCCAATATTGTATAATTTATGTCTCTGTTATATGTATATGTATATTTTAAATGTTTGCTTATTTATTTTGAGAGAGCGAGCGAGCTCAGGGGAGGGGCAGAGAGAGAGGGAGAGAGAATCTCAAGCAGGCTCTGAGCTGCCATCGCAGAGCCTAATGTGGGGCTTGACATGGGGCTCTAACCCACGAACCGTGAGATCATGACCTGAGCCGAAACCAAGAATTGGATACTCATCCAACTGACCCACAGCCACCCTCCCCCATCTCTGTTATATCGATTGCTTATTGTCTGCTCCTCTTGCTAGAACATAAGCTTCCCTAAGGCAGAGTTTTGCTATTTTGCTTAGTGATGTAGCCCCAAGTGCTTAGAATAGTGCCAGGCACATGGTAGGTGCTCAATAAATGGTGAATGGATGAATGTCGACATAATAAATATGGGGGTTCCATTGTTGCCAAATCTTCCAATTTTTCTGGAAAGGCTCCAAATCCAGATTTTCATGTATAATCTCCAACTTTTTTTTTTTAAAGTTCATTTATTTATCTTAAGAGAAAGAGCATGTGGAGGAGGGGTAGAGAGAGAGAGAGAGAGAGAGAGAGAGAGAGAATCCCAAGCAGGCTCTGCACCGTCAGCACAAAGCCCCATGTGGGGCTCGATC